TTCATTTACAAGTACCTCCGTTTGGACTGCAGCGAGACCGTCACGTTTAGTATACCCAATCTCTAATTTAGTAGATTTTGTTTTTTTTCTATGATAGACACGAGTTCTTGCGGCAGCATATTCTCTCCACCTGAGGAAGAATTGCCCACATCAAATCCTAGTTTTCCAGGAATATTAAATCTGTTGTGATGCTTTAGTAAGTTTGTGCTTCTAAAGTTCTTGACCCCAAATGAAGAAAGTTCGTGAGACTTTTGGCGGCTTCCGTCTTCTACATAAGTGTCTTCAAAGACATCGCTTTTGCGCTTGGAACATGAGCTTTTGTTGTTTACGAATCTCACCGAAGGTCTTTCGAACTAAATACCATGACAAGTAATATTAGTTCTTGCTGGCAAAGAATCTTTCTCATTACACTTTTCTCTTTTTTTCTGAAATTTTTCCTAGAGAAAGATTTTGTCGGAGTTAGCAGAGTAGACGTGGGCCTATCCAAGACCTGTTTACGTTCTTCTTCTTCTATATCATCAGTGCATGCATATCCTTTAAATACGGCACACGTCTCGTTCTGTTGGTGAGTTGACTTAGGGTATCCTGTTGCAAGAGAACCTTCCATGGCATAACTGAAATTTTCTAGAGGCAACTGGTCTTCCCAACGAGATTTCTCATTAATTGTCACCTTTTCTGTTTGAGAACAATGTAGATTTCCAGTCCTTAGAGATGTTGCATTCTCCTGTTTGTTCTGAGAGCGGTTTGGTGAAGAAGCAGTCACAGTAGTTCCCTTCTTTAAGTGTTCAGTTCCAGAAAAATGCTGCCTTTTAACTTCCTCGTCAACGTATGGTTTGAAGTTATACTCAGTAGGAAACGAAATGTCGGCGCAGCTTCTAGCATCTGGAAATAACATAACAGAGATATTTGAATTTAATTTGATCGATAAAGGTTTTCCCAATAACATTGTCAAAGTTAAATTAACAGCCCTATACACCTTCCAGGGAGATGCCGGTTGAAACAAGTCTTGCTTCATTCACTGCGCTGCCCGCTGTGTTGTGGCAATAAACAAGTTCATAACACAAAAAAACGAAAAAACGAAAATTCTGTGTATTTTGAAAAAAAATAAAAAAGAAATAACACTGAATGGCGAGTTAACCAGGTTAATTCTAATCAGTCAATTGAAGTTAACCGGTTTTACCGAAACATCGTGATGTGGCCGCTTTTTTGGCGTTTTATCGAACTGAAACTGGGTTTACGGTAACCATAGAAATTCATTGAAGAACACTAAATTTATAACCGAGTTTGGTTAATGTTAAACTACCCGAAGCCACGCATAGCAGGATTAGTGCTTTCCTCAAGCCATCACTGATTTCTCGGATAGATCCAATATCAGGGACGATTCAACCGACGGCGATGAAGAATACTCTGACATCTACGGAAAATGAACATAACGGTCGAAAGAACTGCCTTGGAAGTTTGCGTAGTGCGCATCGGAAGGAGGAGGGATTGCTTTATCCGTGAGGGGAGAGAAAGGAAACGAAAAGAAAGAAAGAAGCGAGAAAATAACAACGTGGTCCTCTAAGCCTGCATATTTATGGTTTCCGCCCCCCTTTCAAGTTCACCCACTTCCTAGCCCATTTCAGTGCGGCCGTTCAAAAAATATATCCCCGTTGTTTCATCTTAACCAACCTTTCACCGAATTAATTTTTCTAGAAATTTTAACCATGTTTCTGTAAAATACACCCAGTTAATTTATTGATTGCCCCAGCCATTTATTGATAATAACAACCATTAAGGGTGGGGTAATTCCCCAATCAATATCATCCATAGTCTATATATAACGACAAGTACGAGGCTGAAACGTGCTCTTCAACTTCACTTACGTAGAATACCTTAGTGGTATAGCACGCTCATATACCGCGTAACTAATCAGAGAGCAGTATGTTGAAGCTCGGGATAAAAATGGACCGATCAAAGGGCCATATTCGATTAAAGATAAATTTCAGGGTCTTTAATTTGTACATGATCCGTCGAGGACTCTTCGTATTTCACCTATTATGTTTTTTTTGCTTTTTGAAATCTATTTTC